TATATATATATAGACATACATATAGACACATAGATACATGAAGTCATGTCTGATGTCGTCAGTATGGTAGGAAAAATATTATACCATTAGCATTTTGTTTTTACTGTAAAATTGAATGAAGGATGATATTTTGGTTAGCTGTAGTGAAGAATTGGAAATGCAGTGTGCAGTGGAACTGTGAAGAAAAAGCGTAAGTGCATCTTTATTCCAATTTGTGAAAAAGAGTGTAGCTAGCGAGCAGTTTTTACCTCATTCAGATCGTGCAATATGCGATCTTCATTGTTGCTTTATGTCAGTTGATTCTCTATCCATATGACTACAATTTGGAGAAGCAAAGTACATATGATTGTGTAGTCCTGGTAATCTGTTCTACTGCAGAAGAAGGGCACAGAAAGATCCATCATTTATATCATCAATACGGTGAATGAAGTAATATAGTACATGATTGCAGCAGGGCGGATAGAGTGTCAAGACTAAGTTAAGTAAGTCAGTCATTCTGATTGAAAGTTCATCTTTGAACCTTTGAGAAGAGTTTTGAATCTGACTACTTTAAAGGTGAACTGCACATTAGACAAGCGAAAATGCAGTTGAAAAGTTTACGAAATAGAGAAATTTCATTCATGTTGAAAGTTTATGATGCAGGAGATATGGTGTTGATTGATAAAGGAAAATAGTATTCATTTGAACAATTGGTTCTATTGTCAGTAGATACTTTCAAATGTAGTAAGTTTTTAGTTACTTTAGTGGTAGCTATGTTTTGTAAGATGTTCAGTGGACAATACATCTATATGAAAGAAATTTACCAGCCAATCTACTCCTACAGATATAAGGACATGCACAGAATTGAAAAAGCAAGGGCAGTTATTCTCTTATGATGTCTTTTAGAGGTTTGTTTTTACCTATGGGAAGGAATCATAGTTGATGTCATTGAATTGAAATGAATTTACGAAATAGTAATAGTCAAAAATCAAAGAATGAAATAAATGTTTGAATAGGTGAAGTTGCGCAAGTTGAGGATTATATATCTTCATGGAGGAGTCATTTTTTTTATGCCAATCAGATTTAATGTTGAGGATAAAATTTGAGAAAGGTTATTTTGGCTGGAGGGTGAGTAAATATTAGCATAGTCTGCATTTGCAAGAGAAACAATATAGACATTAGTGGAAACAGAAAGAAACGCAAATAATGTATATCTTCAGGCAAATAATTGTTCATTTATAGCTTCTTACTTCAATTGTTAGGGAAAAGGTAGATAATGCATTTCCGTAAAAGTAAGACACAGTTCAATGCTTAATAAGTTGAGAAACACATAGAGATTAGTGCTGTTGTAATGTTATAACAGAAATAATGTAATTTAGATTCTTCAGCTGCAATGTATGCTGAAGAATGGATGTAAAACTGTTTTGGAATATAAAATTTGAGCACTTGTTGATTGCTCATCCTTCTAATTGTGTGCTGATTGTGTTGGTGCATATTTTTGGCAATTATTTTTGTTATTAGTTCACTTTCTTTGATTGTAATCATCATTACAACTTTTAGATGGTTTCTAATTAGATTTTATATATCTATATCAACATATTTTTTGTAATATGCTCATGCATGTAAGGTGTGTTTTATAAATTAAATTCTTCCTATTCAGCAGAAGGTTGCAGTACATAGAAACGCTATACTATGGCTTAATATGGTGTACAGGAGAGCATTTGATAATCAGAG